GCTCCTACCACTGAGCAGGAGGGTCTTGCTGAAGGGGACAAACCTCAGGGAGAAGAAAAGGAGGCTGATGTGTCTCAGGTAACTCATGTTTGGTGCACAGGAGGGTATGTTAGGGAAATCGGGACAGATTCGGCAGCTTGAGAGAGGCAAGGACTCTGCAGCTCTGTGCCCCCAGGTCTAACAAGAAACAAGGCTGAAGCTCTCCTGGGAGAGCTCTGGGAGGGGCCCACACAAGGCATCCCTTCTGAGTCCTTAGGTTGGGTTGTACCTGCCTTTGTGCACCTGTGCTCCCCTGGGACTGGGGAGATGGGACTTGATGGGCTGATGGCTGCTGTGATGGGCATGGGCAGGGTATTGTTTGGGCTCCCCTTCCTGCTGTTGTGTCTCTGAGCTCCTCTGGACACAAGCTTTATCACATAACCAAACGGGGCTTTCTGGAGAAAGTAATGGGGTTTTCTTGTCTCCTGGCACCGCGTCCTATCAACAGCATTACTTTGTTTTATGAAAATCACACTGGTCAAGCTATGTATCTGCATCTGGCCTGCTCCCTTTTCTTCTGCAACCTCTGAGGAGCTGGGGAAGAGCTACTAGAGCAGATGCTGCAGCTGGGCAGCCGTTTCCCACCTCCTGTCATTGCACGTTGTATTTCTTCTGTGTACCAGGACAGGATGGTCTGGCAGAGGAGCAGTGAACATGTTCTTTTCGGGTTGGATGCTCCAACAAGTTTCATTAGATGCTTTTTGTCCTAGGCTTCGTTATTGGTCAGATACTACGTACTTAGCGTTTTTGCTTTCTCTGATCCCAGTTACGTTGCTGTAAATCAGGAGAAATCCCCTCAATCAGCCAAAGAAATTGGTCATGTTTCCTTCTTTCATCACCTTTATATCACTGTTACGCCAATTCCCAGAGAGACATAGGACAGTGACTCCTGGAGCTTGTGGCTTTACCCAAAGATAGGAGTGGGACGGAGGAGAAAGCTCTGTTAATTTCCTTGCACATTGAAAATGAAACCCAAACTACCTGCAGACCATTTTTATCATTTACTGCAATGATTTGTGGTAAGGTGTGAAAGTACATTTAGGAGGACTAAGGGGAACAGTGAAAAGAGGCAAGGAATTACTACTTTACATTCTTGTCCAAGGACTATTTTCTGTCTTAATGTAAGAGCCCAGTATGGAGTAGAAGGAAATCCCCATTCCCATATATGTCCTGTGCAATAAACAAACAATTGCGTTTTCCTGCTTGAAATGAAGTACTAAATAATCTTGTGGTGCTTTTGTGTTGGTGTTTTGGGTTTTTTTTCCCCCCACAGGAAAAGGTCAGCAGCATCCCTTCAGTAGTAATAGAGCCAGCATCAAACAATGAGGGGGAGGGAGAAGAACATGAAGTCATCGTGAACGAGTCCAAAGATGCCACGGCAGAGATGGGCACTCAGGGCACTGACGCTTCTCCCAGTGAAACTTCCCAAGTTGGAAGTGAGCAGAAAGTCACTGAAGAAATGCAGGCTGTGCCTCCTCAAGATCAGCCTGTTCCAGCAGAAGATGCAGCTTCTGCAATGCCACCCGGCTTTCTCTTTAAGGTCTGCTTCTTATTTCTTCTTTTAGACATCCCTTCGGATCTAGCTTCTGTGGATGTGTCCGTCTGCGCAGGTTGTGTGATGATTTCTTGAGGCCAAAGGATGCTTAGTTTAACAGCCAGGCACACGCACACACAAACACACACAAACACAACTTTAACCTTGTGCTTCATACGTGAAGCCTGAGAAGATACCTTTTCTGCACACCATTGTTGCTGTGCATATCCTTATGTAGCTGTAAGACTCACTGGAACCCTTTCATCTCAGCAAATTACCACTGAAAATTAATATATTGAGTAAAACTGCACTGCCACAGAGTTAGTCAGCAATATTGTATGATATATGCTAACAATGTATCTGATATACTAACAATATATTTGATCTTTAAGGTCCCTTCCAACCCAAACCATTCTATGAATATTAAAAAATGGCATTTTTCTGGCCTGAAAATCTATAGTGGAAGTTCTGATTCTATTGCAAACCCATGGGACTTCTACAATTCACGGTAATGAAGCCAAAATGTCATTCTGTGACTTTAGTAATATTATAGTTAAACTGTTAGGCTAATCAAACAGAAAAGTTTAATGAGGCGTAAGAGAAATTCCCTCCTTGACTGGCAAGACCCCTAGGGTTTCCTGGTTCGCAAGATTCTTTGATAATGCTTTTCACTTCGGAATCACTGAGCAGCAGAAAAACTCCTTGAGGATGGATGTACTTCACATGCTTCCTATTATCATTTGCATAGTTCAGACTAATTAGTCCCACAGCAGTCCATAAGTGTGCCATTCTTCTTGTTCTATTCGCGTTGCTCAGTATTTTCAGCAAACTTTGAGAATAACATTAAGGTGAGGGTGAACAGTATTGTGCAACTCTGACTCAGACGTGCTGACATAGTTCATCTTTTGTTTTTCATCACACTCTCTTGGGTCAGACATCAATAAGGAGAAGCAGAATATATGCCAGCCGTCTGGTTCTTGATGCCATTTTCTTTCATTATTGCAGAGTTACCATGGAACTGACTGTGCTTTGAGAAAATTAGAATAGCCTATCCCTTAAGGAGATAGAAGCATTTAGTTAAAACGGTCTGTTCACAATGACATGCTGATCCTGCCAATGTTTTAATAATCGCCCCTTTGAAAGACAGATATTTTTGGCATATCCATCTGCCAGTAAATGGGAGCTCTTGCCAGGGCAAGCATTAAGTAGGGTTCCCATTAATTTCCTCTTTGATCACCTGTTGAAATGGGTGCTGTACGTCCCACTCAATTTCCCATGGATGTTTACAGCAAGAATAAGATCCAGTGGCCACAGCAAGAGAATGAGAGCGAGTCCAAAACATCAGTTCCTGGGAGTCTTTCCCAATTTTATTTGCAAAATCCTGCCACCTCTCTCTCTAATCTAGTGATGATAGTGGAGGATGAAAGCAAGTTCCTTACACCGAAACAATAAGGGTGGCAGGACTTAACCGAGAGGCAGGACTTGTGGGGTGTTGCCGTATCAACTGCCCTTGGGATCCTGTAACCCTGGCAAAGGATCTTAGGTTTCCTTCGGTAGTCTCAGGAAGACTTCAGCTGTCCCTGCTTCCAAGGATATGAATAGAAAACTTTAATATAAATCAATGCCAACATCAATGATTTGAATGGACCTGTCTATAGACCTACATTTCTATAAAGAAGGGACATTGGTGGGTTTGGGTTTTTTGTTTTTGCAATAAAGATTTAACAGATTTTGTTGAGAAAAATGTCTCCATTAAGATCATACCTGGTTTTGGTGTTATTGTCTTCAGGTGGAAGTACTACATGATTTTGAGGCAGCCAACAGTGATGAGCTTAATTTAAAACGAGGAGATATTGTACTAGTGATTCCTTCGGAGACCACAGCTGATCAGGTAAAAACATGTGGTTCTTTCTTTTGTTGACATTTTTCTTTCAACTTTTTTCTCACAGCTTATAGTTAATGGGAATGTGTATTCAAAATGTCATTACTATTAGAAAACATGAAGATTTTAATTTTGTCTTTGTACTTGGTTTCATCTGAGACTAAATGGCACAGTTGGCTATAGCTAAAGTCGCAGATATATCCTACTAGCAGGATCCAACCTCAGCATATTTTCTAGGGCTTTTTTTATGCAACTTTGCAGTGGATTTTATACAGGCACACATGCACACAAATACTTAATAGGGAAGATGACTTACAAATTGCGCATTATGTTGCTATATATCATCTTGTCTTAACATTGCAGTAGAATTGATTACATGGTTCCTAGATGTTCAGAGTTTTTACGTGTGGATTTGGAAGACTAATACAAATTCACCCACAGAGAGCACTGAGACTGCACGCAAATTGTCTTGTCCTATGGCCAAAATGTATGGAGGTGCTGCTATGTGAGCTGCATGCCTCTAAAGCTAACTCTGCCCTCTGGAATCCTGAACCTGAATTGAACAACAGTTTAATTTCATTTAAGACATCTAATTTTGTTTTAACAATGCATTTCAGGTGAACTTTTAAACAATTTTATTCCATATGTTAAATTGAATTGCAGTGAGTTGTATTTTGGCCAGTGCTTTAAAAGAGAAGACCGTACTGCACACTGTTAGCACCAGCTGCTTGGTGGGACTCAGTTAGTGCCAGCAGTGTTGGTGAAAAGTGTCCCATTGATTTGGGGGTTGAGAGGTGGGGGACTAGATCCTGCCTAGTCAGGTAGCTAAGAGCAGCGCTCTGAATAAAGAACATTTCTTAAAATAGTCTAAATATTAACACCCTAAGCGCATATGAGTGCTGGGGACTGTATTTGAAATTGTTCTAGTGGTTGATGCTGTCCAAAGGTAGGTAATAACTCATCATCTCAGCTGAGCTTTCTTTTAATACAAGAGACAAGTAATTGGGTTTTGTGTTTGGTTTTTTGTTTTGCTTCAGAAGAAAAGATTTTTCTTTCAGCAGGGCACTTTGCTCTTTTTATAGAGATAGATTCTGTTATCTGTACTCAAATTATGCTGCATCTTACCTCATGGCCGGTTCAACTGATTTCATGATCAGTAGCTGCAGAATAGGATACTGCTGTAAGGATAGCAAAACCCTCTCTCTGTCTTTCAGTATGCTTTTCTTAGGACTCTATGTATTAAATATGCTTAATCTTCACTTGGTGAATGCATGAAGTGTATTCTTCTCTTGTGGTGTGCATCGAAATTCCATTAGCATTAATTGGAGTAAATTGTGTGCAATGATGGAGAAAATAAACCTTTATGTATTCATGTTTCTGAAACCATTCTGGTCATATCTTTTATTACTCGGTACATATTTGCCCTTCATGTTTAACAAACATAAAGCTTAATCTTTTTGTCTTTTGCCAGGTACTCCGTTGATTTATATACAGACTTTTTATCTTTGTTATCCTTTATTTTCCTTCAAAATTGACTTGTCTAAAACCGTAATTCTAATACAGCTGGTAAAATTAGCCTGCGTTCCCCATTCGAAGCAAACCAGTCCCACCCAGTGGCTTTTTCCGTTAGTGCTGAGTTGAAGTTGTTATCCAGTAAAACCATTCATTCCTTCGTACAATCTGTGCTGCCTGTGCTAGAAAGCTGCAGTTCCTCTCTCCTTTCTCTCAGATGTTCCATGTCCTTCAAAAACATGTCCCTGGTTACATGTACCCAGCCAACACCAGACATAAGCTGTATCTGCTTTAATGATGCTTATTTTGGGGCAGAGAGCCAGTACTGCACCACGTGCAGCTGCTGAGCAGTCATGACTCGTGGTGGATGTGAAGATTTGTTCGAGCTACTCTATCTCCTTGTGTACTCTTTGTGCAATAATAATATGGCAGCATTAGAAATTGTGTTTGTCATGGCTTTGCTCAGGCTCCCATTCTTAAAAGGCACGGAGTTACTGAGTTAGAGATGAGAATAGGTTGATCATTTTTAAAAATATTGAATTGATTTTATTCCAGGTAGAATTGATCACACTTAAGAGAATCCAGCACTTTCCAATAGGAAATCTCTCTTTTGATTGCTGGGGCTGCTCGTGATTTTCTTGCAGTTTTGCATGTCAAGTTCTGGTCTAGGTTTCCAGGAGTTTTTGGAAAAATAATTGCATATTAACTAAGTTTGAGTTTCTAGAGATAGTAACTCCAGAGACTGCAAGAACTGTTATTTCTTCTGACTGCCGATACATGAATGAGAAAAAAGAACTCTCAGGGTACAAAAAAAAAATCAGATTGAAAACTACTTTTTTGCCTGATCTATGGTGTTGTGTAATGTTTCTGGCCCACTGCTATGCTCTTACTTTGCGAGTGTGCCAGTATTACTGCGGCAACTCTGATAAAGTCTGCAGAGATTTGCACAAATACAGACCTCGTGTAATACTGGATGACCTGGAAGACTGATTATCCGGTTTTGAGTTCAGCTAGGGGTTAGATGGGCTGAAGGCCATGCAATATGCTCACAGTCGCTTGGTCTCACAAAATTGTGGTCTGGCAGAACAGAGGAAACGGTTTGTGCAAAATCAGAGGCTGATTTGAACCAAAGCACCAAATCTTTTAACCACATAACTCTGAAACATCTTCAGGTCTGAAGCTCGTAGCAAGGAAGCGGGGAGACCTGAAGTTTAAGAGACTCTGTCTTTTTCCTTGCAGGAGGCTGGCTGGTTGACAGGCATTAAGGAATCCGAGTGGCTTCAGTACAGAGATGCAAATAGTTATAAAGGACTTTTCCCAGAGAACTTCACACGCCATCTGGAATAGTTCTCCACGCAGGCAGACGAACGTGGTACGAAGCTCAGTCAGTAGGTTTTTAACCTCTTTGAAACACAGGAGCCCACCTTTTTGTAGTTTAAGCTGTTAATGGTTTACAGACTGGCGCCAGACAAAGCTTGTTGAAACATATCAAAATGAGCATGAATGCAAACAGTTAAGCTAGCAATTTCTGAAGCAGTACATGAAAAAAAAAATCAAGTAAAAAAGAAATGTCCTTATTTGTTCACACGTACGTGGCAACAGGTTTGTTTGTGCTTTGTCAGAGCTATGGTGATCCTGTATTTGGTCCTTTCCCATGAAATCTGAAATTAGCTTCCTCAATACCAAAACCTTAACTTCTCTGCACTAAGTGTATTGTATTGAGTTGCACTGCAGAAGATTTAATTAGTTATCCTGTAGTAATGAGGTCAAACTATTATAAGTTTCACGTGTTTAAAAAAATTATTATCTGCTGCAATGTTTTTAATGTTATTTTTGGACATGCATAATATATATACATACAAGAACTTATATGTATATATAAGTGCATATGGATATATATGCATTTTCACGACTTCATCGTAGTTCTTTGGCTGTGTAGTATCACCAGTACATGCATTGCTCTTTCACTGTCTGGCATTACAGGAAACGGTTTTGTTCCAAAGCAAAACTAGCTGCTCCATTGCCAAAACATGATACAGTATCTGTGTTTGTAATGTGAAAGTTTCATTCTGAGATGATGAATAACATCATGTTCAAAGCTGCTAAACCTTTGAGAAGGCATGGCTCGATCTCCTCTTCCAGCTGCAGTAGTTACAATGAGATAATCTGGAGGGGGAGCTGTTATGATGCTAATCTATACTTTTTTTATTTAATTGGCTGAATAAGTTTAAATAAAGAAACAGAACTAATCTCTGAGAAGAAATAAACCAATATATTTTCACTATATGTATTGATGCAGCGTACCTTCACAGATCCTTTTAAAATAAGATGTATAACGTATCCTGTATCAAAAAGTCATCTGTAACTTATGTTTTCCAGTGCTGTGTCATTAAAAATAAACCTTTGATCCAAAGAAGCTGTTTCATCTGTGGTGTTTTTGAAGCTTTGTAACGCTGAAGTTCGTATAGTTTGTATGTTGTATTAGAGTATCTAATCTTAATTTAATATCTCTTTTTCCAAAGAAACACAACATAACAGGTGCACCATCTAAATTCTTGCTCTCGACCCTAGTCGTGGCCAGAGCTTCAAAAGGTCTGAACCCCAGCTGAGCACATCTCCTAGCTGCTCCTCCTGTTCCAAACTCTGGCCACCACTAATATCTGTCCTCAAGCACCAAGGGAGCTTCTCTGTGCTTGACCATCGCTCAACTGAAGATTGCTACCTCTTAGTCATTTTTCGCTTGTCCGTTTCTTTTGTGTGGAAAGAACGGTCTCCCTGAATCTCCTCTATTGTGTTTGCTGATGCATGGAAGCTGCAAATACTTAGGAACACCTCTATTTTCCTAGCAGTTCAGTTATTTGTCATGATATTTTGATTGGGGGCACGTTTTGTGTGCAAACAGTATCTGTTCCCACTCTATTTCTAACTTGTCGGATTTCAATGAAAGAAACAGATTTCTTGTTGCTCTGGAAGAGGAGGAAAGTCGTTTTCTTTCTGTTTTTCAGAATACAGTAGCTTTCAAAAGCAAGTCTAATGATAGCTGTGTTGTGTGAAGAAGCTGAATGGCTCCACTATGATAGCTGGGATTTTGGCTTTGAAATGTCACAGTGAGCAATCAGAGTCTAAGGAGGTTGCAGGAAGGCTCTTCGATTTTTCTGGTCATTCCTTTAACAGGTTTGGCAGTCCGTAGTGATCCAGGGCCAAGAAGCTCACCAGGGAATCAACTTTCTTTTGGTTTTGGTGTGTTAAAATAAGTTCTGGACTCTAGTGCACCATGTTGAGGTGGTCATAATAACCTATTACACCTGATTTATGGTGAGACTGATGACCTCCAGACCAGTTCCCTGCTTAACTGCATCTCAACACTTGCATTTCCGTAGTAGCTGCTCTACAGATCACTGCAACAGACCAGGACTGGACGACGGAGCCTCAGTTTCCCTGTGGACGCCATGTTGCTGCTTCTTTGACTGGGGCCTGCACTCGAGTGAGACCGTCATGCGTGACAGCCGTAACCCTAAGGAAGCAGAGGATGCTATGATCAGGCTAAAGCATTTCTTTACCCAGTGCTGATTGTGCGTGGTTACCATTATGGCCTCTTGGTGCTAGAAGTACCCAAGTCAAAGTCAACACCCTTGCCCTTGATTCTTGTGATGTCCCTGGTACGGGTCAGTGTGCCAAATCCACTGGTAAGGGGTTTGCAGCACACCTGAGGCTGTATAGAGATAGGAAAGGTCTCTGGTCTACAGCAAAGAGCTTTCATGGTTTCTGCTGACATGCTCTTCAGAAATACTTTTTGACTCTTCATTTCTTAATTCCAACTCAGTATAAAGAAAAATGTAATTTCAAAAACCATCAAATGTCCACATATCGCTGCAAGGGCTGTCATTATTTGCTGGCAATAAGAAGATGTACTGATAACGTCCCAAAAGCCATGCTGTTGGACGTGATGCCTGTGTTGTTTAAGTGCTGCAAGTTACTGTGGATGGGACATACCATTCTGACATTAACTATGTCTTCCTATCTCACACACATACCCCAGAGCCACAGAGCAAATAGATATCTTGCAGGAAGGATGAGAAGAATTATTAATGTTATATCTTTAGAATTCCTTGCAAAATTCCATATACTAAGATGACAGATGTGAAAGGAAGGACATTGATAAGTTAGCCAGGATGATAGTTTTCCTAATTTTCCCTTCTAACAGGAGTTCATTAACAGAAATGTATTTATCAGTTTGAGTTAGCAACTGTTTTTTGTATTCGATTTCTTCTTACTCTGGTTTCGTTAGACAATCAGACTTACCTTTCAGACGCTTTGTCTGCAGCTCCTGAGATGAATAGTATAAAATAAGTTATTTCTCTGTGATCTATAGAAGCGTATTCTAGGGCACGCAAGGGAAATTCTTTCCAGTGTGTACTGCTGTTACATACCAGTGATACCCTCCCCACTAGAGTTATATTAGCCCAGAATTATTTCACCCTTTTATTTGATTTTTTTTTTTTTGGATTAACACACCACATTGGACCTGGCAAATTTCTGAATTTCATGCTTTTGGAGTGATTGTAAAACAATAACCCATTGTATCTTGCTTTCTCTGAAGACTTATTTATGCCTAAGACAGCACACGCTACTAACCTTGTACAGCAGCTGTAATTTCTAATTCTGCATAAAATAAACCCGTGGGAGATTTAGGGACCTGATCTCCTGATCCTGCAGGCTGATGATGCACGGTGTGGCCTTGGAAGTGAGACAAAATGACTGAAGATGGAGGAACATCTCATGTGAGTGAACAAATAAATTGTGTATTGCAGCTCATCTATCTTGTTTACAACCTTTCATGACTAATGAAAAGTTCGTGACCTGAATGACACTTCTGTCCCTTTCCTCCTCTTCCTCCTCCTCTTCTCCCCACCTTGCTCCACCTCTTCCAGACCTCACAGCTGGGCACATCTGTCCCTGCCACAAGAAGAGGGAGGGGAGGTTGGGGGGGTCCAGTCCTACTGCCATTGCGTGATGTTTGACTCCAGGATGCTCTCGTTACTGATGCCCTAATGCCAGAAAGACATGAAATAAATCATAGTCTCATTAAGCTCCTGCTTAACGAAAGTTTCTCAAGTGTCTTACTGACACAGGGGAAGAAGGCATCAAAAGAAAGTCTCTGTGATGGACAGGTTGGTTGGATGGGGTTGGGACAGAGCAGCCGCTGGCTGTAGCAGCACCCGTGCGCAGGCAGAGCACAAACAAGTATCGGAGGACAGCAGCCTCCAAAACACCACAGTTTGCTGCTTGAAGGACAAAATCAGACTTTATTGTTAGCTTTTTTAAACGGATTTAAAAAGATCTCTTTTTGTATTTGAAACGCTAAGGTGACAGTTGATGAAACACTCCCTGATAAGTCAGTCCCCGGCTACAGAAAGTAGTTAGTGCGGTTAACTGAGCAAGGTCACATTTCTGAGAGCAGCCCAGAGAGCGTGAGGGTGTTTTTCCAGCCGGCTGTGATCGGCAGTGTCGCTCCGGGCTCCGATGAGCAATCTGGTGGCAAGTCGTCTGCTGCAGATGAGGGGACTTGCAATGGACTTGGTGCGAGCAAGCGGGTGACACTGCCTGGCAGCCACTTCGCTTCTGTTTTAAACCCCAGCTCCTTCTGGAGTAAAGAAATCGTGTTTGATTAGGAAGAGGAATTTTAGGAAATGGCATGTTCTCAGTCCAGGTTCAGGATTAGAGAATTTGAAGTGGGCTGTGGTTTTGGACTCCGCATCTCGCTAAATGTCTAGACGTGTGACGAGACAGTCACTTTTTGAAGATTCCTCTCTCAGGTCTTCATCCATGTGATTTCAGGTCGGATGCAATCTTTGTGGGTACCGTGTCTCCGGCAGCATTTCAAATACGTCTGTGTTTCTTTTGCTTGGATATCTTCACTTTACCGGTTTAATCAGCACAGAGGCATCCTATGGGGAAAACTGCAGTGCTTTCCAAATAGCATCTCCTGCAACCAACAGCAAGACCTCGTAATTAACATTAATTTGGCAAAGCTGAAATCATCCCAAAGGGAATTGTGTTGCATATTCAGATGCTTAATAGCAGTTAAAGGAAACTTTAGTGAAAGAAAGGACCCAGGGAGTAGTAAAAGTACCACTTGGGTGTGTATGCGGGATTTCTGTCCAGCCACAGGCGCTAAACGTGAGGCAGAGGACAAGAAGGTACCCACCAGAAATAGTCTTCAGGGGACAGCGAGACCCACGTCTGCTGCAGAGGGTCAACAAACGCACAAGTCCTGTTCGTCCTCAGCCTGCTTTCAGAGGAGAAAACAGGCCGGGGGGCTCTTTTGGTGCTGTCGGAGCTCAGGCTTTGGTGCCAGCCGGACGAACCCCCGGCACTAATAGTGCCTCTATATTTGCCTGGACAGACTGCTCGTGGTACGAGGTATAATTGGACCAAGAACATCAAAACACTGCAAAGGTAAGTAGTTGTTACATACTGAAATTATTAAGTTTCCAAGGTACACGCTACGAAGGAGGAGGTGAATGTACTCCAGGCTTCCTATACTTCACTTATTTCAGGTAATTATTCATCAGAAAGCCAAATTCTCTATGTAAGTTTTTAAATCTAAACACATTGAGCTGCAATGGAAGGAAGAATCTGGCTGTGTGTCAGTGAATGAAAAAAAACCATGGAATCTTGAGGAATGAGCTGTGCGGGTTAAGACAAAATCACTAAATGAGAAAATCATACAAAATTCTCTCAGTGGCTAAAACGTGATGGTCCCTATACCCGGCACGGTGCTGTGACTCCCAAGGTTTTGTAGAGATATGAGTGAAAGTGGAAGTTGTCCGTAGGCATCGGCAGGGATTCAGAGCACTGTATTTGAGGCCTATAAGGTGTTTTACAGGAGAGGCTGTATAAATGCTGAGGGTCTTGAGTATCTCCTAGCCCGAGAAAGAGCATCACACTGCTGTCCACCTAAAAAGTACTCATGAAAATAAAAATAACTGGTTTTGATGCACAACTGTTTTGTTTAAACATTTCAGAGTATTGTAGGAATTCTTAGCATCCTTGCGTGCCTGCAGACGCTATATAGCATCCACACAGCTGCTCGAAAAGGGCTTCTGAGGGTTTTACTCCTCCGTACCCAGCAGAGGGAGGTGAATGCTGGAATTTACATTTGCCAAATCAGCTGTCATTTGGATCAACCCTCGGCTATGGGTTTGTTTCAGTAATCTCTCTCATTATCTGAAGTTGGCTCATACCTGCAGACACACAGGGCATATTCAGTGCCATAACAGAAGCAAAACCGGTTTTATGTACGCAGTAACTGGCTACTCCAACCTGCAGTAAACAAAGAGAGAAAAGTCCGTTATCAAGCTGCAGAGACCCCCCCAAAGGTACCCACAGGGGCCAGTTCCCAGGGCGCTG